ATCGCTAAAGGCTGCAAATTTCAGAATATACTCAACTTTAGTAGGGCTACAAACTGGCGAAATCAGAATTAAATTTTAAAAAGAATTGAGCACGCTAGGTCGCCGCTTTCGTGCAATCACTCTTAAGCAAAACTTAAGCTTTTTGAGAAACAGATCCCAGACGATTTTTGTTCATATTTTTAAGAACGATTAGTAAAAAATAAGAAATAAGAAATTTATAGAAAACTGTGATAACACACGACGCGAAATCTGTCCTTGGAAATGAGTGAACCACGTCAAAAGTTGACGATGCAAATGTGTCATTACAGAAAAATATCATTTAGCTACTATGACTTTGCCATGCGGAATTCATGCGACTTTATTTGGCAGGTGAAGAAGAAACAAAAAGATAAATTAAAAAAAAAAAAAGAAGAAATTATGATTCACTCATACAGACGATCTGTTTGCTCAAATACAGACCAATGATCGACGAAAACAACGATTGGTCTGTTTTCCAACAACAAAAAAACGGTGCGGAAAAATTTCATTGTTATTAGAGGTAGTTGCTACGTTGTGCGTATATCAGCTAATGTCACTTTGTGAAATCATTCGTATTGTGAAGAGTTCTTGAATCTCCCTCTGTAGTGGTTAGAATTATATTTCTAAATTGTCCTACTTTTTACTTTTCATACTTGATGCGTGTGTAGAAACAAATGCTGAATAAAAGAATTTAATTTATTCAATCTTATTTTGCTGTAAAGAGAAGAGAACTTCCACTCTTTTGAACACTGATCGACGATTGAATGATATTCCTAACCCATACAAAATAATTTCCAATTTTTTTTTCATTCCTCAACGCTCTTGAATCTTTTATGATTATCGATCTCTTTCTTTCAGTTTAGGCTGAGATAAGGTGCTTACATATTTCATCTAGTTTGATTTTCGATGGATATGAAGTAAGTTTCTTCAAGATGAAATAACATTTCTTCCTGTATCTTTATTTACTGATACATATTTTCCTTTTCAAAGTTTCGTTAGTCCTACTTTTCCAAAATCGACAAAACCAAAACAACGACGTCGAGAATTATCAGAAGAAGAAGTTGAAGAAATTAAAGAGGCATTTGAACTATTTGATAATGATAAAGACAATGAATTAGATTATCATGAATTTAAAGTAAAATGTCTGTCTAACACTATTTACTGAAAATAAATTAATCATTTTCTTCTTTTTTTGTTAAAGGTTGGTCTTCGGGCACTAGGTTTCGATGTATACAAAGCTGAAGCACAAAAACTTTTACGTGATTATGATCGATTAGGAAAAAATAAAATTAATTATCAAGATTTTCATGAAGTTGGTAGGTGTTTTCCGAATGGGTTAACAGTGTATGACTACTTGTCTTTTAATTTTCCTAGCTGCTGACATGATGCTTCAACGTGATTCACGAGAGGAAATTCTTAAAGCATTCAAATTATTTGATGATGATGATACGGGTAAAATATCGTTGAAAAAATTGAGACGTGTTGCAAGGTAAATAGGCAATTTTTCTTTAATTTTTAATAACTAATTATTATTTCTAGAGAATTAGGAGATAATGTGAATGAAGATGAATTAAAAGCAATGATAGATGAATTTGATTTGGATGGTGATGGTGAAAGTAAGCGTTTTTAATTCACAATAGAATATTTCACAGTATTTAATTGTTTTTTCTAGTAAACTTCGACGAATTTCTGGCTATGCTAAATTCAGATTAATGTGAAACAAAAATGTTTATGTTTTCTACGGTTGTCAGATACGTGGTCTTATGAACCTTTGTTTCATATAACAAAATTAGCCAATAGAAACGTTTTTTTATGTCATTCTTTTTGTGTCTTTTACATAATAAATTGCTGTGTTTAAGAGTTTTGTACAAATTGACTTCTGGAAGTCAATGTCTTGATCTCAATTCATATTGAATTTATCAACTGACAATCTTGGATAAGACAATCTGATACCTGAATGTTTAGTTTTCAACAAATGTTGAACACGGACGGAGTCTACACCAAAGCAACATTTCAGTCTCATGTTCGATAGCGTTTACAATGCCAACATTTCTGTTTTAATCCGAAAATACGATCCAGAAAACCCTCCTGATCTGATGGCATACGATATGAATGATACAATCGTCTCGATTTTGGATAGTACTTTCAAAGTCTTGTGTACTCGATCACTGAACGACATATTTCATACTCTTTTTATACTCAATACAGTAAATATTATTGAATCAGATAGAACTAAATGGATCAATCGAAGCACAAACCAATTGGGGAGATAAGTGACTTTGTTGATACTTTAAAACTGCCTCATTACATGATTCGGTGTCTTTCTTCAGTGATCAAATTCTGTCCTCATCTATCATACTGACTACATATGGATAACGAACAGAAGAAGTTAACAGTAGAAAGAGTATAGATATTTTGATGAGCGCACAGGTTTCATTGATCACTATTAAATATATTTCAACTTTTTAAACGAACAAAACTAAGGAAGATGGATCGCTCGACATGGATTCGCTACATAAATATTTTCAATTAGAAGCAAATTATCTCTGTGTCTTCAGCTTTTCCGTTGATCAAACGGCATCATGCAATGACACTATGGTTTGACGGCTATGTTGTTCGTCACGTACTTTGTTCGAACTTCGACATCGTTAAGTCATGTGATAACTTTGTGAAAGTTCCTCATGTCTACATGTCTCGTATCGTCCGTACGACACCATACTTCTTATGCTGTCATATACAACATAGTTCAAAAGTCTAGTTCGTATGTATGAGGAGCTGAAGCAATTAAGCGAATGAGCTCTATGCCAGAGTATTCTTTCAAAGCTATAGTTGATAATTAGTAACGAAACGTTTTACTATATCAGAAGCTTGTTAGCTGAAGATACCAGACTGCTAAGATTGACAATTTTCTCTAAGATTGTTAATATTCTATACCAGTAACGGTAACCGCAAGTCTGAATTCTTGAAATCAAAACAGAATTTGTCCGAAAATGAGCTGGTGATTATATGATGAGTTTAATGAAAAAAATATTTTAAAATCTATGTAACAAATTAATCAATTTTTTCTAGAACAGTGAAGTTGGCACTGATTTAAGTTCACAATATGTAGCTTACAAGACGATAACAACCACTGTAGAATAATCATAGAAATTAGAAAAGATCAAATGATTACAAATGTTACTTTCTTATTTGTTGCATTTTATAAATTGATCTGCACAAATTCAAGAAGACTCATTGCACCTAAATCCTAATTACTATGCTTTATTGAGGAGAGATTCAAAAATAGTAAATCAACGAAATATGCTATAGTTAGAAAAATGTGTATCAAAAATATCCAACTCAAAAACAGTGAATACTATTTCTACTTGTAGTTTATGGCTTAGTCTGATTAAAGATCGTCTCCAGTTAGATATAACATCGAATAGCTCCTCTGTCATTTTGTGATGCTGAATTTCTGAATCCCACTACTATTTCATTATTTGGTCCGATTGTCATTTGAATTGCACATTGTGTTTCGATTTTATTCACAGCCACACCTGTTTTATCAAATTCAATAAATATCGATCTTTTTATGTATTCCGCATTATCATTATCAAACTTTAGTAACAACCTATTATCTTTAAATAACAGTAAATTCCACAATTGCCAATATTTTCCAGCATCAAATTGTCCAGTAGTCATGAGTCGCTTTGATTGCTTATCATAAATATTAATAGTTTGGGAACCTTTTCCAAGTACGGCCATAACGTTTTTATTTGTAGCTATTTTTAATGGATCAAAATTATCTACATCTTTATATTCAATATAATTTTCACACAGAGATATAGCCGGAATTATTTGATAAGAAAATGATGGTAATTTATGTGAAAATATTGTGCACCCCCATCGATCGATTCCCCATAAACGGTTAGTGTTATCATCAGCTAAGAACTGTCGTAGTGGACGAGACAATTCGATTCCTGGTATTTCCATAAGACCATCATGAGTAAAAAAAAATATTGTACCAAAGTCTTGTTGTGAATATAAGCGTGTATGTACAATCATCAAACGTGTGTATACGCTAAATGATTCAACAACAACATCATAATGTTTTCGAAATAGATGAATTGTTCTTAATAACCGAGGTGTTCCATCGGTGAGTAAAGATTTATGAGAATAGACATTGAGAACACCGTTTCTATCGCAGACAAATAATTGTGGATTTACGTTGGAGTAAAAACATAAAAAATAAGGAATTATTTTGAGAGATATTGTCCAAACGGGAGTTTTCTTTGGAATCGATAATAAAAATTGGCTACCATTTTCTGTTTTACAATCAAATTTTATCACTTCTTGTTGGCTAATCGATCTAAATTTAAGTTCACCATATAGTTTCTTCATTAGGAATTCGGCTGATGTAACAAAAACTGGCATCTAGATATAAAATATACACAATCTTTTATCAATAATGATTTCATTCCCCTTACTACAATGGAATTTTGTTGAGATATCCAATCTAATCGTTTATTTGACTCTTCGATCAAACGATCTATATCATGTTCAACTTGTGAATTACGAACAAAGTCTTCTCCATTCCTAAAAAGAGACAACTAGCGGCAAATATATCGTAGTGTGAACATATGTTGATGGAATCTTACATCAGTGCTTTAAGACGCTCATCGATCAACGTACACGTATTTCCAAGATCTGATTTATATTTATGCCTAGAACAAGGAATACTTCTGCTGTATCTTAAAAGCAAGCAATAGTAGAATGAGAATAATTATATCTACCTTCGGATATTAATGTTATTATAACGAGCAGAATGCTAAATACTTACAAATTCATTTCAGTCGATGTCACATGTTCATCAGCTGTTTTCAATAAACTATCACGTTTGGATTTAATTATTTTAACAAGATCATCTGAACGTTCTATGGCTACTTGTCGAACTCGATCATATGTTGATTGAACACGATCATACATACCTAAAATATATGAATATATGCGAGATATCAGACACATTTTGGATTATCCTTTATCCACCCAAAGATTGACATAGTTTTTCATATGTTTCTTGACATCTTATCCATTTAGTATTTATATTCTTCTTTATCTCATCAATTTGACATTGCTCACATAACTGTTCACCATTGAGATGGTTACACTCATCTAGTACGATTGAACAAGTGTGACATACTCTACTTGTCGTTGACAATATCCTTGAATTTTCATAGTGATTAATCATATATCGTTTAACCATCATTTTTAAAACAGAATGAACAATTA